CACACACACACACACACACACACACACACACACACACACACACACACACACACTTCATTAATCATGCCTTACATGGTCATACCTGTAAGGCATTGTCAGGTTTTTGGGTTGTGACACTTCAGCTTGTACCACCACATCCAGCAGGTTTCAGTGCTGAGACTTTTGGCAGGAGGTGAATTTGGCTCAGTGTGCCGTGGTGTGGTGTGGAAACTGCTGGGGAACCTCAGGCTGTTAATCTATAAGTCAGGAGGGAACTGTATAACACAAGCTTACCAAATAAAGCAGATTGCTCCATATAAACAAGATTTATAGAAGTCACTCTGGGTTATTGATCCCTGCATTCATTGTGAAACTTGTGTGTGTTCACTTCATCTCCCTCTCTCTCTCTCTCTCTCTCTCTCTCTCTCTCTCTCTGTGTGTGTGTGTTAATGTTGCCACATGCTTACAGAAATGTCTTCCTAAAAAGTCCCTGTTGATAGAACACTCTGCATTTTGAATGCTCCCAGTTTTGGTTTCTTTCTGCAATTCTTCAGTTAAATGAATAATGAATGACATTTACATTAAACAGTGCAGTTCTTTATATTTATGTGTGCTGTGTTTTTGTCCATCAGTGCAAAATGGCACTAGTGTTCTCTAGAAGTCTTCTGTGTACTTTAAATCGAAAATGTGATTGATCCCAGTTTTTGTGGTATCAGAAACTAAACCTTAAAGAACATGGACAGTGTACATTAGCTACAACAATATCAGCTGAGGGTTAGAGGGAGAGGGAGACAGTCAGCAATGTGTGTGGTATGCACTTCAGCTTTAGTTATATCTCCTTCCAGCGAGAGACCTGTGACTGCTGTGTGATCTGCTGCACAGAAACTTGGCTCTCCTGATATTCTGGACAGAGCCATAGAACCGGCAGGCTTGTCCCTGCACCACACAGATGGGACTAAAGAGRTCTACGGCAGGAGTAAAGGCAGAGGGATGTATTTCCTGATCAACAGTGCTTGGTGTGATCGAAGGAATGTTCACTTCATCCAGTCTTTCTGCTCTCCGGACCTGGAGTGCCTGCTCATCTCCTGCAGACTGGTGTGGCTGCTGCGGGAGGTTACAGGGGTGATCCTGGCTGCTGTTTACATCCAGCCGCAGGCAGACATGGAGCTCACGCTTGGGAAACTGCACGAGGCGATTAACATTTTTTTTATACATAAAAATTCCTAATTGGTATTTATTTACTTCATAAATTGATAATATGTGAAACTTTTTAAGCTTCTGCCCACCTACAAGCCAAGGCTGAAAAGCGGAACCACCAACACCAGAGTGATCCACGGCTGGACTGATCAGATTCCAGGCTTCAGGACTGTTTTTAGGATGTGGACTGGGAGAATCGACAAATATGCAGACAGTCTCCGCCTTTATACACATGTGTGTAGATGACATCATGCCCACAGACTGTCTGTGTTTAGCTCTTTCTTTCTTTCTTTCTTTCTTTCTTTCTTTCTTTCTTTCTTTCTTTCTTTCTTTCTTTCTTTCTTTCTTTCTTTCTTTCTTTCTTTCTTTC